CCCCCCCCGAGGTCCCTCCCCGTAATTGGTTGCCGGTTCCGACTTTGATCGATAGGTCTTTTGGTAGGTACCTAAGTTGGCCGCGCGGTGCAAGTCGATAACCGTGGAAATCCCTACGATGGGTGAGTCCATCACGGAGGGTTCGGTGCAAACGTGGAACAAGCGTGTGGGGGACTTTGTCGAGGCGGACGAAGTGGTGGCGGTGATTGATACGGACAAGATTTCGGTGGATGTGAATGCGCCTGTGAGCGGCGTAATTACTGCGGTCAACGCCGCAGAGGGTGACACGGTAGAAGTAGGAGGCCTATTATTCACACTGGACACGGAAGGCAAGAAAGATGTGAAGGCGGAAGGCAAGAAAGATATGAAGGCGGAAGGCAAGAAAGATATGAAGGCAGAAGGCAAGAAAGATATGAAGGCGGAAGGCAAGAAAGAGGGTTGCAAGAAAGCGAAGGCAGAGAACGCATCGGCTCTATCTGCGACTGGGGGGTCGAAATCGGGAAGGGTGGAGAAGCGGGTAGCATTAAGTCGGATGCGGCAGCGAATTGGGGAGCGTTTGAAGAGCGCTCAGACTGAGGGCGTGCTGTTGACGACGTTTCAGGAATTGGATATGAGTGGCGTGATGGCGTTGAGAAAGAAATTGGGTCCCGAAATACAGCGTGTGTATGGTGTGAAATTGGGCTTCATGTCCTTCTTCATTGCGGCGTGTGCGAAAGCATTGGAGGAGTTTCCGGGATTGAATGGTTCATTGGTTGATGGTGGCAAGACGTTGTTGGAGCGTAACTATGTGGACATCTCAGTGGCAGTTGCGACGCCGACGGGTCTGGTGGTGCCTGTAGTGCGAGATGCCCAGGCGAAGAGTTTGGTGGAACTTGAGCGAGATGTACTCGCTCTTGCGACTAAAGCGCGCGCTAATAAACTTACCCTGTCCGAAATGGAAGGCGGAACCTTCACCATCAGCAACGGCGGGGTCTATGGCTCCTGGGTCGGAACACCCATCATTAATCCTCCTCAAGCCGCCATCCTAGGCATGCATGGGATACACCAAAAACCCGTCGTAGACCGCGAAGGCTCTATTGTCGCCCGACCTGTCATGGCCCTTGCACTCACGTACGACCATCGCATCGTCGACGGCAAAGAAGCTGTCACCTTCCTCAAACGAGTCACTGACCTCCTTCAAGACCCCGCTGCTGAACTACTTAAAACCGTCCTACCTTTCCAACCATCCATCCAACTTGCTGCCTAAGGCACACTCAACGGACATACCGACCGGGAGAGGCTACTGGGAGAGGTAGGTTGATTTCGGGAGAGGAACGAGTGTCGAGAATTTTATGCACACTCACCCCAGAACTAACTCTTTAGCAGAAAATCGTTGGGACGGGGATTAAGGGAGCGCGTAAGTGGAGCAAGGGGAGCGCGTAAGTGGAGCAAGGGGAGCGCGTAAGTGGAGCAAGGGGAGCGCGTAAGTGGAGCAAGGGGAGCGCGTAAGTGGAGCATGGCTGATTGGTCGTGCTCACGGCCTCCCGTCCGTCAGTAGCTCGCGGTCAGCAGAGAATCGTCTTGGTCAAGGTTGACCTAACGGACCGCATTTCAAAGTGAAATTTCGGTTGGAAAAAAATGAGGACACCTAAGGCTTCGAATTCCCAGCGGGGAGGGGCGGAACTGTTAGCGGCATTGGTGACAAGTGAGGGACTACGGCCGGAGGTTGGGCAAGAATTGGGGGTACGTTTCTTGACCCTTGCCGTCAACGGAGATGGCTTTGTTTGGGCTCTGGCTTTGGCACCGGAAGAAGATTTGCAGAAGTACGATATTGCATTGGAGGCAACAGCTATGTCTCCTTCCGATCAGTTGAATCCGGACGCGGATTGGCCAGTATGGTGTGACAACCTCTTTGAGGGTGTTACTAGACTGAAGCTTTTCTCTGTGCCTGGACACCCTGCCCAGTACACCAAGGCGGTTATATGCAACAACCTAACTACGTTCTTGAACCAAAAGGAGCCTTTGGATGAGGATATTAGAGAGACGATTTTCTGGGAGCTTTTCGGTCGGGGTGAAGGGGAACAGCACCCACAAGATACAGGCGATGTAAAGTTTCACGTGTTTGCTTCTAGGAAACTTGACTCCGGTGATTCCGAGCTCGTCGGCAAGGTATTAGAGGAATGGGCACCCGTCGTTCGAAGAGCAACCGCCAATTGTGTTACACGCTGGGGGTTAAGATGCTACTCGTACTGTTCAAAGCCGCGGCCGCACATTCGCTGGCCCTTACACACGAACCTCTTTTCGAAGAAACAGGTGGCATGCTTTGCAGCAGCCAGTCTCGTCGTGACGACCTGGGCCTTTATCGACGACTTCGCTTCCAGGCCCTGAACTCGATACCGACCGATCCAGCAAACCGCGGCAGGAGATCGTTAGGGTTAACAACCACCATCACCTATTCGATCCTTCTTTCCCGAAACCTGAAACTCAGACCACCAGGTCAACCACCCGTCAAGCTCGTGCCCACCTTCTTACACCCCTCCCACAACCATACCGACGACAAGGCACTGATAACAAGGCAGTTTTATGGAGGGTTCCGTACAATAGCCCGTGTGTCATGTAGCTATTAGGATATCTGCCAAGTAGGACACCTGTTCTTGGTGTCGGCGCTTGCCAAAATTTGTTGAGTCGCTTATTTTTTATTTTTTCGGTGGACCAAGGAAAGGAAAGGATGCGAACAATAACAAGTTTACAGACGAGTGGCGGAACGGCAGAGATGTTGGCGGTTGTGTTGCAGCCGGATGGTACGAGGCCCGGTATGGAGGGGTGTGTGCCGAGGATGGTCCGCTTTGTTACAAGACCAGATACGGACGAGGGCACATCCTTGAGTTCGGCGGTGTATGCGGCGGCGGTTGCGCCGAAGGCCGTATTTGATGCCTTGAAGGGTAAGAACGAGCCGCATGGCGTTTCGGGAGAGCTCGAAGAGATTCCGTTAAAGGAGCGAAAGGCGTTCGATTGGTTCAACGAGTTCAACCGTCTGAAGTTCTACCTGCCAATGGAGTGGGCAGCGTCCAAGGCGGCGGCCAAGGCGGCGGCCAAGGCGGCGGCGGACGCAGGGGCGGCGGACGCAGGGGCGGCGGACGCAGGGGCGGCGGACGTGGGGACGGCGGACATGGGGACGGCGGACATGGGGACGGCGGACGTGGACGTGGAGGCCGGGGTGGACCAGACCGAGGTGCTGCCACAACCAGAGCCCATTTCCCGAGCAGAAGTGCTTGTGTTTAACGAGTTGATGAGGCGCCTGACCGATATGAAGCTTGATGACACTCAGCCCGAGGCCTGCGGCAGCTTGCTTGACGAAATATTTGGTGCTCAACGAGCTGAGATGATGGAACGAGACAACAGCAATGATGCCGTAACCGTGGAGTATTGCGGCCCGCTGGACAGCGAACAGGTCCGGAACCTCCTGAGTAACTCATCCCGCGAATGGAGGAACCTCTTCCAACAGGATCCCTTCGCTATTTCTAACGATTGCGCTATGCGTTGGAGAATTGGTCTCCTCAGCGGCGCCCTTACCGTCCTCGCTGGGGTCTGGATAACTGGGAAGTATCGCGGCTGGGACAAGACTAAGGCTCCCAGATTGGCGGACAACACCACTCTGGACCGCTCGCTAAACAATCTCACACTGACCACGGCACACGATCAAGCATCGCTAGCCGACAACACGTCTAGCATGCCTGATATTATCATTGGGGCAACCGATCTCTCATCTGTCGAACAAGCATACCAAACGGTGACGGATGCTCTTAGACCGTTATTTGCCAAACGCTCTTCCGCCGTCTCTTCCCCTCTCCCATACACAATGCGTATCGAACGAATAGGTGGTGAACACTCGACGAATGCCACGGTCAGTAACTACCCCTCTGTTGCCATACAGCCTGCGGTCACGCAGTCTTGGGATTTTATTGTTGATACGGATGCGGCTAGCCTCACGCTCAACTCTACTAACCTCAGTGCAACCATGCAGAGTGCAATCTCGCAGAGCACAACCCCGAGACTTGAACGGTCGATCTCAGAAGGAAAGATGGCTGACAACGCGACCAGCTCTGCGACTGGAACTACAAGTGCCGCACCCCTGTAGCCGACTCTACTATGTTGCACGCACCCGGACGCAGTGATTGAACGGACACTTACGGCACTAGGAAACGCAGCCGGTGAGTACATACGTCACAGGGTCTACATGCCCGTTTTTGGGCACAGCTTGGAGCTTTTCTTGGCCGGTATTTTTTTTCAATGACACGGCCGAAAAGAAAAAGCGACTACCCTCATGCGTGTGTTGATATTTTATGGATCTGGACACGTTCGCCAAAAGTCTCTTAAAAGTAAAGCTAAGCTCGGTTGGTTGACGGACATGTAGTTGAACGCTACCAGTGAATTTTTGGGACAAATAATGACCAGCAATAAAACCGACCTGCACCACCACTAGCGACAAGAGCGAGTGCTCACGAGTCGACGGGTGTGTGAGCACCGAACACACGCACCGGGTCGAACACACGCACCGGGTCCCGAACCTCAAGCACTGAGACATAACGAATGACCGACTCAAGAAATGTATTTTCGTGCAAATCAATTCGAAGTGCTTGAGGGAGTCGCTATAGTCACCAGGCATCCTGGATGAGTCGCTGTGGCTGAACAAGCGGCTCTTTGCCGCTATTGGTCTTTACCGCTATTGGTCTTTACCGCTATTGGTCTTTACCGCTATAAAACTTGATAGTTGTCGTTAGGTCTTTTTTTTGGCGAACAGATAGCGGATAAAAGCGAGTGATACGTCGTCATGCGAACAATAGCGAGTCTACAGTCAAGTTGCCCAAAAGCGAGTGAGTTGTTAGCAGTAATACTACGGCCGGATGGCACAAAGCCGGAATTGGACGGATGTGTATCACGAATGGTTTACTTCACCACACATGAAGGCGCTATGGTGTATGCCGTGGCCGCTGCCCCAGAAGGTGTTTTTGAGGCGTTGGAAGGAACGAATGATTCGGATAGTTCCGACGGGTTCGAGTCCATTCCACTGGTGCTGCGCCAGAACTTCGATTGGTTCAAAAGATTCGACCGACTGAAGATCTACCCGCCGGGCGATCGCTTCGACGTTGAAAGCCCCGAGACAATGAACTCTGAGGCAATGACCTCTGAAACAGTCAACTCTGAAACAGTCAACTCTGAAACAGTCAACGCTGAAACAGTCAACGCTGAAACAGTCAACGCTGAAACAGTGACACCAGACACAATGACCCCTGAGACAGGGAACCCCATGATGGCGAACCCGGTGGTGGTGGCGGTAAATCCCGAGGTGCCGCCGGAGACAATCTCGAAGGCGGAAGTGGCTGTGTTTAGCCAACTGATGAGGCGACTGGCTGACCTGGAGCTGGACGCAACTCAGCCTGAGGCCTGCGAGAACATCATTAGCGAAATCTTCGGAAGGCGACGGGCCGAGCAGCTCGCATTAGAAACCGGCGAGGATGAGGTAGCCGTGGTTTATTCCGGCTGCCTAGAACCCGAGGAGATTCGGACCCATCTAAGGTACGCCTCCGCAGAATGGAGACCTTTGTTCCCAGCGAAGCCGGTGGCAAATAGCACCGCTACCGATGGAATTACCGAATACGGACCAAATGAAACGGGCGGAAACATAATCAGTAGAGCCCTCGCAGGCTTCAACCGTCACTGCACCCTGCGATGGCGACTTGCCGGCGTCGGCTGTGCCCTGGGGACGATCTTCTTGGTCGCCACCGCCGTCTCGAAAAACAGCGGAGACAGAACCTCTGCCATTTCCAATGACATGTTGACCACCATAGGCATGAACAACACCACACAAGGCATGGACAATGGAGCCGTTACTTCAGTTGTGACAAAACTCCCTTCACTAGTTAACAGGGCGCCCGATATTATTTCGATGACTGAAACTACCACACATGAAACTCCGTCCACTTTAGGACGGGCCTACCAAGATCTCAACAGGGCAATCAGTTCTCTATTTACAAATGCTACCGACTCTCCTACTTCCTCATTCTCGATGACAGCCGAACATTCGACGGACCCTACAGTCGGTGGTCACGTCACTAATGCCACCGAGCCTGCGACCAGCTCTACCACGCAGAGCACAACACAGCTCGTCACAAACCCGAAAGCAGTGAGCGAATGGGTAGCCTCGCAAGGAACGACGGGTGGTAGCCTCGTCACTAACGCCACAGAGTCTGAGACCGCATACGTCTCCAAGGACACTTCGACTACGGATCCCACGTCCCTCGCGACCCAATCTACTAAGCAGAGCACCACAACAAAGAGCACAACAAAGAGCACAACAAAGAGCACAACACCGCTCAGCACAACTGCTAAGAGCACATCCCCGAAAGCAGTGAGCGAATGGGTAGCCTCGCAAGGAACGACGGGTGGTAGCCTCGTCACTAACGCCACAAAGTCTGAGACCGCATACGTCTCCAAGGACACTTCGACTACGGATCCCACGTTCCTCGCGACCGAATCTACTAAGCAGAGCACCACAACAAAGGGCACAACAAAGAGCACAACTACGAGCACAACACCGCTCAGCACAACTACGAAGAAACCAACCCCGAAAGCGGGGATTAAGCCGTCGATTGCCCACTTCTCGAATGGTATGCAGACTGCTACCAGCCCGCAAAGATCTTGATTGAACGTCCATTTGACCTCTTGATTGAACGTCCATTTGACCTCGTCAGGAACGATAATTCCACACATCTCTAGTGTCACAGGACTAGTGTCACAGGGTCATTCGTGTCACCAGTTTTGACAGAATGATGGAGCCAATTTCACGTGCGTATTGAAAATGCCATTCGTATTTCAGTGCGATTCGTGTCCCTTTTTGCTTGGATTGAACCCGAGAGCTGGGACCTGGAAGCAGGGCTTGGTTGCGAGTGGCTCAGGGGAGTTAGCGTGGTTTTTTTTTGGACTTGGAGTGAGGCTCGGAACGAAATTAAAAGCGCCGTAAGGATGGTGTTGACAACAACGCGAGTGGTCTAAGTGTGGCGGGCCCCGGGGCGGCGGACCTGTGGTCGCTGTCGGCATCACTACGCCGGGTGCTTGGCCGTCCATCAGGATGCTGCGCCATTGACAACTCTGCTCTAAACAATACAAGGCTCGCTAGTTGAAAATGCCACCAGGGCCCCGTCTGTGCTTATGAACGGCCTCTCATGGATGCTAGCTATGGCAACCCGGGCGTCATGGATTAGGAGCGAGTCCGACGTTTCTGCGGGCCACTTCACCGCCGCTTGTACAGCTCGCTCGGCGGCGACAACCTTCGGAAAGCTTCAAGAAGTGACTGCGCCACGACCTCAAGGCCTGGTGGAATGTCTTCGTCTAGTCGTCTTCGTCTAGTCGTCTTCGTCCAGTCGTCTTCGTTCGGTCATCGTCGAATGCCACCACTAGGCTCCAATCCCGGCCCCTGCATTTATATAGGCGGCTGTTGTGATCGGGCGAGACCGGTCGCTGCGGAACGCACCCAGGATGGTTCTTGTCTGCCGACCGTCCCTTAGCCGAAAAGGCGACCGTTTGGTCTGTCGCATCGTCTCTTGTCGCGGTGGGTAATTGGCAGGGTCCACCACACTCAAGCACGACGGCTCAGCCAGCACTGCGGACTGGACATGTGGGTGATGTTGGGGTGCTACAAGGGCGACGACGATGAAGCGAGTATCGATGCGGAGAGGCACGGTTTCGGTTCTACCAGCCGAAGGAAGATGCCAAGCAAGCTGGGTCGCATGAGTTAAACCGTCGAAGCTGCATGTCTAGGGTAGAGGGTCTAACGTTTGATCCGAAGTCGAGAGAGAACTACACGAGGTCAGAGATGCTTTGAGAATAGACCAAGCGTAGGTCCGCTGGTAGGCCCTCCCTCCCCCCCGTATCGCGTGAACACATACGAGAAAGTCAAACGAGGTAACCCAGATTACTTAGAAGGATTTGTTGACAGGCTGGCTGGTCGCACGAAACGACAGTTTTGATCGGCGACGAGAGGTCTGGGCAGTGAGTGAAGAGTTGGTGAGTTGTTGGTCAGAGAGTGACCTCGGGAGCACACCGGGGGTTTTCGAAGGCTTTGCACGGAGCGGACGTACGGAGTGGTTCAGAGTTGCGCGAGTTCTGCTGTGCTCGCACACAACAGATCCCGCACCCCGACAACAGGACTGGCACCGGTGGTGACGTTGATAGGGATGGACGCGAGGCACTCAAATGAGGTGCCTTTGATGTGGCTGGAAGCTGTTGGAGTAGACGCACTTCTGGAGGTGCGTTTCCCGACTTTGCCCACAAGTGATCGGTGCCACAAGTGATCGGTGCCACAAGTGATCGGTGCCACAAGTGATCGGTGCCGCGAGTGATGAACCGCTGCAGGTGTGACGCTGCCTGCGTCATAAAACGATGTCCATTCTGGTGACTTGCATCTGTGGTATGTCAGTGGGCGAGGGCGGCTTTCAGTTGTTATGTCTCGCCCGCCGAAGCTTTTTGTCGGGTGAAGAAAGAGCCAGAAGCCGTAGCAGTGCAAGTTACCAGAATCAACAACGAGGACTCTTCATGCGACGCAGGCAGCACCACGTCAGCAGCGGACCAGTACGACACAACAGTCTGCGGTTGCTCACTCTTCATTTTATTAAAAGCCCTTACCCGGCGGGCGAGGCACGGCGGCTTGCCTACGGACATGAGCGACGTAGAGTTCCACGTCTTTTGTATAAAAATTAGTGCTGTGTGAAACCTTCCCTTCAGCTACTGGATTTGAACCAATGCGGGCAAAGCCCAGTAGATTTCAAGTCCATGATGACCCGATGTTGCTGTGTCGGTCAACATAGCGGTCGAGAGAGACCATCACTACTTTCACATGGCACCCATCAGTGGGCGTCCAATTAGGTGAGTTGTTTTCTTGTCGGAGATGTAGGAAAGTTCAACTTGGCCTACGTGCTTCTAACGTGGTGGCTGTGGCCAAATCTACTATGCAGAGCACATCTTTAAAGGCTATGACGGCGAGGCTCACTTTGCTAGGAACGACAATGGATAATGGGTCGCCTTAGCGGCATGGGTCGCCTTAGCGGCATGGGTCGCCTTAGCGGCATGGGTCGCCTTAGCGGCATGGGTCGAGGCACTGGCTGGATAGAACTTAATTGTACTTGAGGAGACAAAAGGGGACCAGGAAAGCGTGGGCTTGCTGGTCTTTTTAGACGGCGCCAACGCGTCGGATTTCAAAGGCGTGTGTTGCCATGTAGAACAGGCCGAGTGGGACTCGATCCATCCCTTCTACGAACGCCATCGGGTGGACTCTTTCGGTAAGTGTCAGTTCATCATCCCGAGTGGCGCAAGGTTGGGCATGTGAAGGTGGGCGGTGTGGACCTGTTTTGCTGCAGTCAATTGTGCCGTCCTCCGTGAGACTGACCCCAGGTGGTCCTGCTGCGTGCCATCAGCCAGCCCGAGAGATCCCTGAGGGTTCTGTAAACTGACTCACACGTAAAACTTCCTAGCCTAATCTGCCAGTACGCCGATCGGACTTAGATTAACCTGATTTATTTAGATCAACCTGATTTATTTTTTTCCCGTTCAAGAGTGGGAGAGGACCCTGGCCCGTTGGGTGACCTCGACCTCGACCTCGCACCGGACACACCGCAGCGTTACAACCGCAGTTTTTTTGTGCTGCGCTTGCGTAGCACACACATGAGAGTCTTCACGATGATGCGCCACCATGACTGCTCGGACACCATGATGGTGTCTGAGAAGGCCATGATGGCGTCTCGCCTAACGGCGTCTCACAAGCCACAATTTGACAAGCAATTTTACTTTTTACATTGTTAGGAAATGCGTACATTTAAGAGTGAGTCTAGCGGCGTGCCAGGGAGCGAGTTGCTGTCAGTATTGATGGGTCCGGATGGGAGCCAGACGAAGTTGGACGATTGTGTGGCACAGGTAGTTACGATACGCGCGGGTGGCGGCGAGGTGACGGCTTTGGTGTTGGCGCCCGAGACGGCGTTTGAGGTGGAGGTGGAGACAGTCGGCGAGCGAACGCCGTTGACGATGGAGACGACGGTGGTGGAAGGCCGGGATTACGACTGGTTCGAGCACTGGGACCGAATGATGGTGTGGCGCCCGAAGGAGGGGCCCAGTTGCGACGCGCGCGCGGAGGCGGCGCTGCTGAGCACTCTACGGCGCCGGCTGGACCGCGACGGGCCTCGAGACAAGCCCGAGGCTGTGGACGCGCTGTGTCGCGAGATCTTTGGCGAACGCCTGCACGACGTGCACGCCATCCTGAACGGGGTTGGTGAGATGCAGCGTCGAGACCAGGTGGACGACGTCATCGTGGCTGTCACCCGGCCGATAGACCCGTCGGAGTTGGAGGGGCTCTTGGCCCAGGTACCCGAGGACTGGCTGCCGACGCTACTCAGGTCGGTGCGGTGGAAGACTGAGGACTGCAAGACTGAGGGCTGGAACGACGGCGGGGACATGGAGGCCGCACAGGCGAAGACCAGACCTGAAAAGAAGCGCTGTCTGTACACGACCGCGAAGGTCCTGGGTGTGGGCTTGGCCGTCGGCGTCATTGCGAAACTTATTTTGCCGGACACCTGGTGGCCGGCCGCCTTGTCGCAACGGGCGGCGGGGGAAGAAGACTTCGTGCT